CAACTTCAGTTGGTTGAACATATTCCTTTAATAAGTAATCGTCTCGCTCTTGATATAATTAAACTCCAATGATGATGGTTTCTCATTGTAACTCCGGAAATTAGATCTAGATATTAGCCTTTCGTAAATTTGAGATGGCTTCCTAGTACCGAGAGTTGTGGAGATCGTCGCTTATTAAGTTAAATGTCATGTAATAACTTAAGTTAGACAATGACTGATTTTTTCACTCGATCCTTAGCTATAAAATCAATGCAAGTGAAATGGTTACGAACTGCCAATAGCTTATATCTAAACTTATCATTGCCTACATAAGTCTTAGTTAGTAGGGAAACTAGTTGGGAACATAGTCAAGAGTTTGTAAAAAGAAAGTGATATGGTATAAGAAGATAATATTTCAGTGGGATTATTTTATTCAATCAAGGTAAATAATAAAGTCACGCACAATATTATGGTCGGAAAGGCTGGGTTTTGTTTACTCCTCTTTTGGGTATGGCGAAAAGAAAAAAGATTACAGATTTTTCGAAAAGATTTGAAATGTTGATATAATAATAATGACCTCAGATTTACTTGATTTTATACGTTCCATAAGTCTAATAATTCCGGACTTATATGGAATACCCAAGATGCCTAAGCTCGGATACGTTTAACTCACTCCACGAATGAACAGGTCAATGGTTAGCGCAAAAACTGAAACCATCTAGGAAGTAGGTATTTATACAAGTATCTGTATGTGATACATTTCAATCTGTTGATAATATTAAGAATGTCAATACTTTTTAAAAACTCATGTTTTGCCTAATATTAATTAACTGTTAACTAGCGTACAGTTAGTAGAAGCCATACGTTACATATGTAACTATACTGACTTTCATAATATAGATGTGGGCTTGTAGATGAACTGACTGAGAGAAATATTGTTATATTGTACTTGAAACATCCAGTTCTGCTTCACTAATCAACTATATCGACAACGATGATTGGGATCTTAAGCGTTGTTTCAAGCCTAAGCTTCAAAACGATCATCTTGTTTCTGTTATCGAGTGATTTAACCTGTACAAAGTACATATGAACGACACATTTGACACTTTTTACGAGTATGTTCAATTAGTTGACATTTTACTTTCAACATTTTTTATAGTCCCATAGATCTCACATTCGGAAATGAAGCAAGCTATTCCAATTTATTTCTTTATGTGTTTTTGACAAGATGTAGTGATGGATCCCTAAAAAGGTTCTTTGATAAAAAGAAACCATGAAACGGTCAGCTAACTAACTTCTATAGCAGGTTTCACCAAATGAAAAGAGAGATCTTATTGACTTCCTACATCACTGATTGCATACGACCTCTTGTACTGAATGCATTGAAGAACGTGACTCTTCTAGAAAAAGCGTTAGACAAAAATGCTTATCCAAACCACTTCTTAGCAAGGGACAAGAAGGAAACTCTGAGCATGTTTTCCAGAAATTCCATTTCACGTAACTATCTTTAAATAAATGTATAATTTAAATATGATCACACTACTGATATCCTTAAGTATCAGTTGTTTTCAGTAATTAAAACAACGTTCTATTTCAACTTTAAATTCATTTTTTAGGTGTTTAAGATTAGTATGAGGTGCAGTTAAAAATATTCCTAAATTCTAATGTTAGTCTACCTGATTTAATGTACGAAATGTTTGTTTTCTGGGGAAGAAATTAGATCATTTTATATCAGTACTTTTTTCTTTGCTGAGCAAAGAGACAGGTTATTTATTTACATTTTCTATTTGTAAGGTTCCACCAAATTTGTATTTTACACTTTTATCTCACTTAAGAAAATAAATTCATTAACAAAACTGTGATACCAAATATAAGAAGGATATTTTATCGAAGCATACATTTAATTACATACTACTTTACAATTCGAAATGTCATTATATCGTTGTATTTTGTTAATTCGCACAAGTTTGACCTATACTCAACTTTTTATGATCTATTCATGTAATCATTACAAATCACGTCAATCTTAAATGAAAACGAAGATTATCAGAACTATGTGATATATTGGCGCAATACATTTCAAACAATTCAATCACACATATACTTGTTAAAAATACGGCCAACTAGACTAGAAATGGAGGGTAAAAGGAGAATAAAGAAATAATGTGAAAACACTTTTAAACCTCATCACTCTGGTAGCATTAGCTTATTGATCAGAGTGATACGGTTTCAAATTGTTTTCACATTATTTGTCTATTAATTTAATAGTTGAATTCATGAGTCAATTGAAACTAGACCACCATGGAAAACCTGAAAGCACTGGACGGTTGTTTCGTTCTATTGTGGGACTCCTCAGCAGTGCGCATTCACGATCCCGCCTCGCGAGGTTCGTACCTAGGACATATCAGTCTCTCGTGCGAACACTTATCCTCTAGACTACTGAACCGGCATCCAACGGTGTTTATGCACACTACTGAGGAGACTCACAAAAGAGCGAAACGGCCGTTCAGCGCTTTCAGATTTTCCGTGATGGTCCGGCTTTAATTGAGTCATGATCTGAACTATTTAAATTATTGTATTATCCACAAAACCACTTCTGATACTAATTGGACAATTATCTGACCCGTAAATTATTTTCATATTCTGTTCTTACTCGATTATTGTGTAACCTCACTTGATAATAATAGCTCCGAATCAATTTATGATGCAATCTTTTTTATCCATCTATAGACATATATTTTCCATATAACTAGAAATACGAATATACAGCTAAAGTAAATGATTTCATCTTTATTTTTGTTCTTAAGAAGTATATGTGTTTAGATTAGATTGTTCGAAATGCATTGAGTTGATATATTACATAGTTGTATTAATCTTTATCATCTTATTACACTATAACATATTGTAGATTATACGTTATTATGTTTATTGTCAAATTAAATATCAACAAAATTTATTTACTGAAACTAATTTGTATACAACACTGGTTATCGACTCAATGATGTTTAAAAAAAGAGAAGAGAAAAAAAGGAGAAAAAATAAAATAAAAAACAGACTGATAATGTTTACATTCAATGCTAACTTAAACTATTTGTTTAATCAACTATATTTCTAAATCCATTATTCAGATCAGTGATTAGTAACCTAGTGAAATTCTAGTTATATTTTAAAATAACGACTAGATTTTTTCTTTAAAACAAAACTTAACAGTAATAATTGAGAGTGAATTTAGTTTCTATGTCATATTTTGTTACTAATGACCTATTTTTCTTTTACTACATTGTACTCTGATTAAATCAACAAAATTTACTAGTTTCACTCCATAATTTTAATGGATCTGTTAATTTAATAAATTCCAAAAGGTGTTGATTAATTTTTTTGTAAATGTTTATTCTATAGTTTTAATCATTTATATATTGATCGATCTTTAACAGAGTTATTGTAATGAAAAGAATCCAAACATTATTTTATTACTGTATAGTAACAACCGGTTTGAGTCAATGTTTTATAATTAACCATATAAATATGAAATGGAAAAAGTTCAAATATTATCCTTAGAAAGACCCGTAATTTATTTCATATGGTCAATAGTCCGATGTTTATTGAAATTAGCTTAATTTTTAGGAAAAAAATATTCCATTTGCATGGATTTTAAAAAAATCCTAAACTTGGGGTTCGTTACAGTTTGGTGCCATTTATTGGAAAAAATTATCGGACCAGTCTCAACAGTTGATTAATATCTACAACTCATTGTATGATATCCAGTAAATCCTACTAATTTGTGTACGTGTGTGTCTTGATGAGAAATATGGTTCTCTACAGAGATAAATGTTTATCATCAGCATGTTAAGACTTATTTTTCTGGTGAAATTGAAACCGAATCATTCTCATGTTGTTTTTACTTAATTATTGTAAGTATTTTTGAAAACGATTGTCAGTGGTCTAGAGGTTAAGCGTTCGCGCGCGAGACTGAAGGCTCTAGGTTGAAATCTCGTGAGGCGGGATCATGGATGAGCACTGCTAAGGAGTTCCACAATAGGACGAAATGGCCGTCCAGGGCTTCCAGGTTTTCAATGGTGGTCTAACACCAATCAGTTCATAATCTCAATCAAATTGTCTATTCATTTGTCTGAACCATTTGTTTTCCAGTTTTGCAAATAATCCAGCAAAGTATTCAATTATTGATTTGTTTCACCTCATTAGTTCTAAATGTTGAGCTCATACAGAATAAAATCGTACAACCAAATGTAAAAATGGTTGGCTCAGTTTCTTTTTTAGAATGGCTCTAGAGGATTAATTATATTACATTACCAAAAGATTGTTGTAGAAGCGAAATTGTTCGTAGATAATCAAAGAAGATAACCACAATTTCGAATTTTCAGTAGTTACTCGAAAATAAAATAGAATTTTTCATTAAAATACTTCATATTTTGTGCAGAAAATTCTTTACTGATCTGGAACATAGTGACTATTCAAATCATACGAGACGTTTTTCATTAAACGTTTGTGAAAAGTCAGTAAACCTTGAATAATCTACTTCCCTTCTTTATGTAATAAAAACACAAGCCGATAAAAACGATCTTTTCTTACTTTTGGACATTTGTCACAATTAAAATGTCCTACTTTGCATTGTTTTAAGTGATCAATTAAATATATATACATACATATTCACTTCATATATCTATGAGCTTATTAGTGAATTATAAATGATTGCAAACTTAATTACTGAGAAAATTCCAGTAAAACTATCAACAATGTTGGTGTATTATTCGATTTATCTATTATTTGATGAACTCTTCCTCAAAATCGTCAAGCGAATGATCTTTCACATTTTATTTCTGGATATTATTTCATATGTATCCTACATTGACTACTTTATAACTTTATATCCTGATTTACTTCTAGAACTTTTGTCAATGATACAATGATTCTTTGTTTTTTAATTTAAACCACTATATATAGACGAAATAAATATAAATATGATTGTACAATTTCGCTAAGTGATGTCATTGCAATAGAAAATTTTATTCAGTAAACGTCATCATTTTGTCTAACGACTGAATGGGTTTCTCTCTATGTTTTAAAACACATTCAATCAAAACTATCTTTTTATTTCTTTCAATTTAAAACTGCTTTAACTAAATATAGCATGATAGTTATTAAGTTAGGGACTTGCTACATCAGGGAATAAAAGTAATTACGAAATGATTAATTGAATAATATTCTTCATTATTAAACTTGTTTACAGATAAAACAAATCGTTCATTGGATTGGTCAGTTAGTGCTCAATGATCTTGAATATGATTGGTTAAATTAACTTGGAGCTTACTACAAATCTTTAGAACTTTTGTTAAACTTAATTGAAAATCTTTAATTAATATTTTGTTGGATTTTTAAAATTATCATTACACTACAGTACTTTGACTTAAAATACATGAATTAACTGGTTTCATAGGAAATAACAATGTCAGGAGTTGGATCTACATCAAATGCGTCTATTCATCGTAATGCAAATGATGATGGAAAAAGTAGAAGTCGTTATTTTTTACATCATCATGGCCCAGATCATTCTCAAGGACGATCTTTGAGTTCCTTCAAGCAGCATATGTCTAGTAGTGCGTTAGGTCATTTAATATCAAATGCTAGTCAAAAACATCTATCTCGACAACATAAGACAACTCATCGATTTAAATACTCCAGTGCTGGTAGTCTGTCACATAATCAAGTACATTCACATAAGGAAAGCAATAATCATTGTACAACTGATGATAGAGTTTTTGAAGTTCTTTTAAAAGGACATGTTTTTGTACGTGCAACTTGTTCACGACTTCGAGATCTGTGCGAATTCTGTCTACATTCAGTTCATGGTCACTCTTACTTGTATTGCAGAAATTGTCCTGTCGTAATTCACAATAAAGATATTTGTCAAGAACATCTTACCAGAGTGTGTCCTGCTCCAGAAATAGGAGTTACAGGATGGGGTGAAGGTAAAAGTTTTCATATTTTCAAATCCTATTTTTTTTCATGAAGTTATTTTTAAGTAACTTGTTAATTCATTTTGACATTGTTTTCGATAGACTTTCAGCTTATATTTGACTTTGACTCTATATGTAATATTCAAAAAATGAAGCCCTGTTATTCTATCGAAATATGTACAGCTTAAGATTCAGCTGTTTTTTCCAGCTTTAATTAAGGACACTATGCACCTAAATTTAACTTATGAACAAACCTAGATTTGTAAAGTAGTTTGACTAGCTATGTAATGATAACTTCACTTCTTGAAATTCATAATCGATGATTTCTATATTGTGAAAAAGCTTTTTACTTAGATACTGGTTGAAAAGCAGTTTGTCGTTTAGTTTGTGTAACTGGTCATAATGCAAAAAGGAAGATAGACATCTGTAAATAATTATGCATTTACAATAATGTGATATCTAGATTAACAGTCATATAGGTGAAATATGCTGAAATAATTACTACAAAGTTTTTCATACAAGGTAAATATCTGAGGTGAATATGCTTCTTGAAGTGTCTACAAGTAGTAGGTATTTTTGAGAAGCCAGTTTTTTAATCAACCATCATCAAGTTTCTACAGTTCTATATCTAGACAAACGATCAATAAGAATGGCTGAGTCTATGACAAATACATCTTTTAAAAGTGCATCACGTCAATTTAGGATTGTTTATAAAATAAAAAGATTGTTTATGATGAAATAGCTAATATCTAGCGTTAACTTGGATAAGATTATACGTCAAACAAAGTTGTGAGATTAATGATAAAAATAAATATTAATAAAATATTGTTGTTTTGATTCTAAATCTAATAAAATGTTTGTTAAAATGTATGGATTGATAAGAATTTAGTAAGAAATATCAAGGTGGAGTGAATGTTGAAAATAAATCATCTTTAATATTGAGAGACCGTTTCCTATAGTCTGTGGTTGATAACTGTCTCACACCCGCGGTAGATGAACTCCACTAGTCACGGATTTTCACTAGAATCCCTGGAATTACTTGGTGAGGTTAGACACGTTTGAACACGATTATTATAAGTAAAAAGGGTTTATTGAGACTGTTGAACTTTTATAGTTTACTCCGCGGATTGATCTTAGCTAGACAACCACTGAAAACTAGGGAGTACTAGAAAACTTTTCCGTCCTAATATGGAACTTCCCAAAATTTCTCATCCACCTAGTGAGAATCAGTGACCAGTGGAGTACAACCATATGATGTGTAAGATAGTTATCCACTACAGGCAATGGATAAGGATAGCTCATTATCGTGAATCGATGGAAGTTGGACGTTAACATCATTGGATGCCGGCTTAGTGTTCTGTAAGTTAAGCGTTCGCATTTGAGACTGAAAGTCATGGGTTTAATTCCTGGTGGGGTTTTAGAAGGACATTGCCAAGGTGTCTCATACATAGAACGGAACGGCCGTCAATTACTTTCTGGTTTGAAATGGTTGCGAAAACAATATCAACATTTTGTGTTAACTTTAACAGTGTAACAATCTCCACAAATCGTTTGCACAACTAAACTATTGGTGTGTTTGAAAGACTAATAACAATGTTAAATTGTTAACTATAATTACAATAATAACGATGAAGATAATACAAAAATGAACAGAAGTAATAATGACGACAATGCCCCCAAATGCTCTGGTACGGCCGAGAGTGGGGAAAGTCTGCTATCCCTCTCCAAATGCTCTCACATGGCCACGCATATATAGCCTTTGTCAGGAAAGTCCTACTCATTGCCTTCCCGTGGTATTACTGTTGTTTACGAAATTGAGAGGACGAAAAGCGAATGTCCGGCGCTTTAACCGGGTTGGCGGACATGGAGAGTCCACCTAGGGGAGTTGGAAAACCCTGATTCCAAACCAATGGTGCACATGGGCTCCAGTATCCTGAGTGAACTAATAGCGTATGAATTAATCGTTGGTTACCGGCTACCATGGGACTGCATCCCCTTATGCTTCACTGCCCTGTGGATCAGATCTGTAGGTCGAAGGCTCCGGGTGTGGCCTCCTAAGAAAACCACCTGCTTCGGTTTAGGTGCCCGTGAAGTATCACAGCCCTCAAACATATCAAATGAGATTTGTGTCGTGCATATGTATTTGGTGCCTCCTTGTGCCAATATCTATGTGTTAAAATAAATAAATAAAATGAATAAGACTAATTTTAAGTTGTGAAAACACACTATAGAAAGGTTGTATACTCATTATTCAAATTATGTCATTCTATAAAATAAATATTAACTTACTGAGCCTGGAGTCGACCGGGATAAGAGAAACAGGAAAATATATTTCATTTGCCCACCTAGCTCCAATATTTTTATGCAGTGTGTGGAATATATTCAATCATATTTACATCTGAATATAGCATAAATCCTTTATCTGTTTTAATAATGATTAAGAATTTGTTTAAGTTTGATGTTTATGCTTGATGTTACTGATATATAAAGAATGGAATGCAATGTGATTAATCTAATCTAGACCAGCAATTCGCCAGTGAAAATGAACCAATTTTCTCAATATTATCATGTATTAACTATGATTAATTTTTAAGAGAAGAAATATTTTTTTGTCTGATCTTACTTATTTTGGTTGCATAACAATCTACGGTGAAATCATTTAGGAGCATTAAACGGAATATTTAGCTTTTTTTAATGAATCTACTTAACTATGTACTGGCCGATAAACATTTTTATTTGAATTAATGAATACTACAGTGAAGTTTGTCACTGAATTTTAAATTAACTAGTGGTTAGCAATCATATACATATATCGTTTGTTTTAAAAAATGAAGTTTTGATTTATGAACATTTCATTTAGTGCAACTATAAAATATCATTTATATTAATCCTGAGAAGATTAATTGTTTCAGAAAAACTCATACAGATTCATTAATGTTATTCCTGGAAATGTGCACTATTAAGTAAACTGGAAATATTACCTATGAACATGTGCTTTCATAAGAAGTTCACTTAATACTTATTAGACCCATGTGGAGTGCTAGAAAGGAGTAAATATGCAACCCAGTAATTTTATTATACTTGTTTGTTAAATCGTTTAATCTCTTAGTGTTATAAATTGTATGTTTGTATTAAGCTATTATACAGCAGTATCAGTTTTGATCAGTTAGACCATAAAAATATTTTGTTTTTGTTACAACAGAGAGAATATCAATGCCAACGAAATGAATAGAATAATAATGTTTATGAGAGTAATTGATGATACACGTATTATGATGGAGTTTTGTTTTCTGAGCTAAATGGTTTAGTTGTGGAGATTTCGTTGTTCTTCTGAACGACATAATCAGCACAAAATTCTGGTAGAAGCGAAGTGTGCGCTGTTGATATCATTCAGAAGAACGATGAAAGCTCAACGATCTAACCATTCGGCTCAGAGAACAAAACTCGACCAAAATCATCCATCTGAGCTACAAATATTTTCTATCATGGTAAATATATCATATAAGATGACAGAAATCATATAAACAAAAGGCTTATTCATTCCAACTCATTTTATTTGAATGTAAAATTTACACTTGAGTGAATTGCAACACAGGTTGTATTGCTTGGATCAAACTACGACAAAATATAAAAACGACTTAGTTACACATTAAATTTATGGTATAGCATCTAAAACTGGACAAAATCAACTAAACAACTGCTTTTACTCGGGTTTTTACGAAAGCAATCTCGTTGGAAGATAATTTTTAAAGACTAAACACATACTTTGATAATAAACTTGAAAACATGGAGGCTTTAATAGAAATTGACTATCTCCTAAATTTCATTAATCAACAGTGAGTCAAAAAAAGCCCAATACTAATCACTGTACCATAACAGAATATAGTCCATAAACTTTCATTTAAAAGAAATGACTTAAAGTCATAGAATAACTGTAGACTGAAAATAACTATTGAAGAGACATATCCAACAATAAAGTTAATCAGCTCATAATATATGAAATATATATTCTTGAAGAAATCTTTATTTATTTTCAGCTGTTAGCCCATATGTACTACTTGAAATAACACAAGTTAGAAGAAATAAAAATAGTTGTACATAAGACAATCACTTTAATATAAGCCAAGGATTCTGAAAGTAAATAGATCCAGATGGATTTCATACGATTCGATTTTATAATCTGATGTTCACCTCTGACCATGTTCGACGTTTCATGTTTTTTTCTCACCTTTAACCTTTGTAAATTTTTTATGCTCATCTTTTTTTCACTCAATTAGTTATGTTTTACTATAAACTTTTTTATGTGATTATTCATCTCATTAATAGTATCATCAATTTAGAAAACGTGTAACCTTAATCACTCGAGATATGAAAGTTCTTACCTTTTTTCGAAACAATCTTGAACTATGATTATCGTCACCATAATTAAGATTACGTTATAAAACTTAAAGAGAAAATCTTATTCACTCAGCACAAAGTTTGAAGCTTTACTTAAAAGGTGAACAGAATTCTAGCTCTTGTCACTTATCGAACTACAATTTTTCTACTTGTAAATGAAGTAAATTTAGAATATATATATATTAGTTAGGTATTTATATTGTAGTGAAGGAGAACACAGGTGAGGACAACCGAATTATAGTTAGCATAAAATTACAGAGTTACTCGGTAATATAGAAAAACCATACTATTATACCTAATTTGCAAAATGTTCAATAATTGTCTCGGACTTCATTGTTCTTGCATTTCCGTACTAATTGCTTTCTATTCCCGCTCTTCCTTTCTTGATCTACCCCATCTTCTGCTGCCAGACATTACATTCCTGACTCGCGTCATGTACTATTTATATCAATATAAGTAGCACGCACCACAATATACTTACATACTTACGCCTGTTACTCCTAATGGAGCATAGGCCGCCAACCAGCACTCTCCAACACACACTGTCCTGAGCCTTCTTTTCTAATTCCATCCAATTCTTGTTCATTTTTCTCACGTCTATTTCCATTTCTCGG